ATGTTATTTTCAGCACAAATTTCATTCTTGAAGTTAAAAGATTTGAGTTCTTGATAGGTGTTGTTGAAGTTTATTCTAAATCTTGTTGTGTTGGGTTTTGGATGATTTCTTGAGATAAAATTTAGTGTTTTAAGGGATGTATTGAGTAGATTAGAGTGTACTTATGTTAAATAATCAATTCTAAGTGATTGGGGAAGAAACCGTTCGATTCTAGGCGAATCAGGGTGAGGAAACGAGTAAAGAATTTCGTCGGGTCTTCTGGGTTGGGGCCTCACACGTCGCGCGCCAGAGCGCCCCAAAGTATGCTCTAAAGTTTAGGAGCTGGCGTTCCGCGCCACCCATAGCCCCAGGGTCGCCTGCCCAGTCCAGTTTACATCGGTTGGCTCCGTTTGAGTTCTTTCGAAGGGTAACCTTCACTCTTTTTCAATTCTAACTACTCTAAGCTACTTCTAAACACCGAAAATCATTCCTAACATGATCATAACCTTGAATTCATAATTCAAATTCAAGGTAGAGTTAAGAGTTATGTTTTAAGAATTCTATCGAACATTCTAATAAAGTCCCTTTGAGTCCTTTTGTGGAGTCTTCTACATCTTCTAATAACTTGTTTCAAGACTCCGAGCAAGTGAGTATGAGAGTGAGGCGAATGTATTCATGAGTCTACTTTATCATCACAAGATCTTTCATATCATGAACCATAACTCTTGAATTCATAATTCACATTCAAGAGAGAGTTACGAGTAGAGTTCAAGAAAGTCTTTGAGTTCAATTGTGAATCCTTTGAGATCCACCATAGATTTGAGTTAAGTTTTGAGAAGTAAGTATGAGAATGAGAAGAGTCGTATACCTGAGTTCCTTATTGATATTTTGATCCTTGAGTTGAGTCGTTCATGCCATAACTTCCGCATGAACTTCATCAGTTTAGTATCTTTGAAAGAAGTAGTATCTTCAAGTTCTAAGTCTTGAGTATAGAGTTCCTAACCCTTCCGAGATTATAATCCTAATCATGGGACTATTACCTATTACCCATGAAGTCCATGAGTTGAGTTGTTCATGCCCATAATTCTGCATGAACATTATAAGTTGGACAATCTTGAGATGAGAAGTATCTTTGAGTCCTTGAGTTGAGTAGTTCATGCTCATAATTCCGCATGAACCCTCTGAGTTGAGCATTCTTGAAATTAGTAGTATCATTGAAGTTCTTGAGTTCTAAGTATTTGAGTTCTATCTATGGTTATTGAAAACCTTACATTGAGTCGTTCACGTCCATAATTTGGCATGAACCATATTTTTAGAAGTCTTTTACAAACGTTTTAACTTTGTTTTAAGACTTAAGTTTTGAGTTAAGCAAAGAGCAAATAGTAAAGAGTAAAGAGTTGAGTTCATTTCTTCAAAAGAGTATATCGGGACTATGTATTTTCAAAGAGTAAATGTTTTCACATTTAAACAAGAAAGGAAACTGAGCTTTCAAAATAGCCTTTGAGCTAGTTTTTCAGTAAAGAGGAAACTATGATTTCCAAGAGGGCTTTTAAGCTAAATTTTGAGTAATTATCTCAAACCAAAGAAAGAGTTTTGTTTTTACAAACATATGAGTTAAGTATATTTTAGGAGTAGTATTGAGCACCAATATGGGGATGCGAGTTCAGATAACTCAAGTCTCCATAAACCATGTAGCCATCATGGGTATTAAAGGATCATACTTTTTAGATAACTCCTTAAGATGCTTTTAGCATAGACTAGTGGATCCAGGTTCTATACCCCCGGCAAGGTATATGACGGTCCTTGGCAACGTGAGGTAAAACATTGTATCACCACTTAGGTTCATAGTGGTGGTTGTCGGTTAGAGAATCTCCCACAGAGTTATATTGTATTTTTACACATACTGAGTTTTATTGTATTTTTCAATACATTGAGTTGCTATCTACATTTTTACAGCTTTTCATAAATATTGCATTTTTTACTGTTGCATTATCCTTGAGTATTTCGAGTTAAGTATCTTATACTTGAGTACTTCTGAGTTGAGTAAGTTTGAGTAGTTTTGAGTATCCTTGAGTATACCTCTGAGTTGAATATCTTATCATTGAGTTAAGCTATGTTTCTTTGAGTTGAGTGAGTTGAGAAGAGGTAAATATGTTTCCTTTTTATCAAAGTTCAAGCTTATGTTTATGCTTTAGAATTCCTCTTACATGCTCAAACATTTCACGTACTGAGCCATTTGGCCTGCATCTTCTCATGATGCAGACACAGGTTTTTAGGGTCATCAACAGGAGCTTCGTTGATACATTCAGAAGTTCGAGTTAGCTATGGTGAGCCTCCTTGTTTCCGGAGGATTTCATTTACTTTTCAGTTTAGTCAGGATGTCGTGGGTCTTGTCCTGACTTCTATCTTTAATAGTTAGAGGCTTCATAGATAGTCGGTATAGTTGAGAAGTCTGTATAATTTATGTTGTTAAATGTTTAAAGACTTAAGTTGCCTATTTTATGGCGAGTTGTATATTATTTTTATATTCAGAGTTGTTCATTTGAGTTAAAGTTTTGTATTGCAGTTCCATGAATTTTTATTCAGTTTTTAAGCTTTTGTATGCTTGAGTTAGTCTTCCACTTGTAGTCAGTCAGGATGAGGGTTTGCTTGGGGACCAACAATGGTTCTCGAGTGCCGGTCACGTCCAGGGTGTAGGCTCGGATCGTGACAGAAATAGTAGAAGATTGAAACCTAAGATGAATTATTGGGCCTTGCTCTTGCACTTCAAAAAGAAGAAGTAAACCTACAAAAGAGGCCTAAGGTTCTATTTATAGGGTTTGGAAAATTAATTTATTTTTCTCGTGGGATTTCAATTCCTAAAATCTGAGAATTTTCGTCATGATGACCCTAGCGTGGCGCGCCAATATTGGGTTTCAGTAGTTTTGTCCATGGCGCGGTGCACCTACAGTGTGCCAAGCTAGGGGCTCTGTATTTTAGGTGCTGGGCAGCACTCTTTAGCCCAATTTTTCTCATTTTCATCCTTCGCGTGCTCATTGGAGTTGCGTCCATGCTTTCCTTCTTTGTTCTAGATCCTATGGTCTCACTTTTCCTTCGAAAACTCTTGCATGAGATAATCACATGTCTTAGTGTACAATCATTGTAAGATAATCACAACATAGCAAATAACATGAATAATATTCTCCAAACATAAGGTATATGTTGGAAAATCATAGTAAATATGCATATTAATACGCCTAATATCACTCAGCCTAGTCAAGTCATCCACTTCAGTAACACAACTACGATTCTTGACCCTCAAAACACATTCCTGATTCAAACTTTAGCTTGAATCAAGGATAATTTCTCATTTTAAAGTAGTCGAGCCTTAATCTATTCCATCAGAAATGACTATACCTCAACATAAGCAATAATTCTGTCAGGCTCTAAAGTATATAGTCTGAAAAAGCTATTATCCAAGGACTGAACACCTATATACAAAGATCCTTCCTCGACCCGCAACGTTGCCAAGCTACCATGTTAATACCTTATGACCCAATGCATCAACTATTACATTAGCTTTATTCAGATGATAAAAAATGATCAATCATAATCCTTAAGTAACTCCAAACATTGTTGTTGTCTCAAATTGTGATCCCTCTTGCTAAAACTATCCTAAAAGTAGCAGTGATCTGTGAAAATCTCACTTACCCGTCATAAACTCTTGCATAAGCTAATCACATGTCTTAAGTGTGCAATCATTGTAAGTTAATAAAAAACATAGCAAATAGCATGAAGAATATTCTCAAAACACAAGATATATGTGGGCAGATCATAATAAATAGGCATATAAATACGCCCAAGATCACTCAACCTAGTTAAGTCATCCACTTCAGTAACACAACTACGATACTTGACCCTCAAAACACATTCCCGATTCAAACTTTAGCTCGAAATCAAGGATAATTTCTCATTTTTAAGTAGTCGAGCCTTATTCTATTCCATCAAAAGTGACTATACCTTAACACAAGCAAGAACTCTGTTAGGCTCTGAAGTATATAGTCTCATAAAGATTTATCCAAGGATTGAACATCTATATACAAAGATCCCTTCTCGACCTGCAACATTGTCAAGTTAACATGTTAACTACCTTATGACCCTATGCGTCAGCTACTACATTAGTTTTATCTGAATGATAAAAATTGATTAATCATAATCCTTAAGTAACTCCAAACACCGTTGTTGTCTCAAATTGAGATCCCTCTTGCTAAAAAATATCCTAAAAGTAGCAGTGATCTGTGAAATTCTCACAATGTATACCATAGAGGTAATGCCTTCAAATCTTCAAAGAAAATACTATTGTTGGCACACCTAGATCATGAGTAGAATAGTTCTTCTTCTCATGAAGCTTCAACATATGTGATGTTTGATCCACAACCTTTCTCTTTGGCTTATAGAGAATTCTAATATCTTTTTCTAAATTTTGAGGGACCTCTATTTATAGTTGTAGGATGAATGAATTGTGATAATAATAAAATCTTTTCGACCAATCATCTTGGAGTTGACACAACAACATTTGATTAGTCAGAACAAATCACATGTATACATAACCCCATTTCTTTAGCCTTTGATTTGACTAGATATAGTATATCATTTTGACATATAACATGATTCTATTGGTTCATACATTTGACCATTGACACATAAATGAAATCAATGTAGGTATCTAGGATAAAATGACTTTTTGTACATGATAAAATGGATTCATCATTTGTAGTCCAATTAAATAAGCTAGTGGAATGTATTATTTATACCTTATAAAATCATATTTAATGAACTTAATTGAATAATTAATTCAATTATTAAATTTGTCGTGGATTAAAGTTTAATACAATTTTTTTGTTATTAAAAAAAAAGAAGAGAATAATTCTCATATGGCTAGTTAAATTTGGGACAGAAGGATTTATGAAATTTATCATCAGGTAAAGATGAAGCAATTGTAGGCTATTTACTGTTTAATTTTGTTTTACGATTGATTTTGGATATGAAGGGGAAACCCTAGTTTTGAGATAGGAGAAAAAATGGGAGCTTCAATGTGGAGTATACAACTTCATACCGTCTCAGTTCCGGTACCACTTGAGGCATTCCGGAGGTATACTAGGACTAGGAAGAGGACCTTCAAGAAGCTTAACGTAGTTGCAAATGGTGATGCCAAGAATTCGAAGAATCTTCCGCACCAAGTTATGGTTGTCAAGTCCAACAAGCCCAATTTTCCTCTTCTACTGCAACACGCTGTTACCAAATTACAAGAGAGCGTCAAATCTCTACCTCCCGCTACCCTTCTGGTAAATGGCTCAACATGTCTATATTCATATCACTTTTTTGTTCTCCCTGCTATCTTATGGTATGTGATATGATGTTTTGTTTCCTACTTTTTCTCGACATACCAACTATTTCTTTCTTCAGTGAGATTGCAAATTTTTCATGTTCCATTTGGGCTCTCAATAATTCCGATTAGATGTTAAGATCCAGTGCAATGTATTTATTGATTAAATTCACGATTAAAAGCAGCTTAGACCTTGTATTCACTTTTATTTAGAGACCTTTGGGTTCTAAGATGGAGACCAGGTTCGGCAGAGGACCCATTGGTCAAAGGAAAGGGAAGGTCCTGCTTTCTTCATTTTGGTATTTTCTCTTTAATACATGTGTTTTTATTGCAGGTAAAGAAACATTCTGGTGTTAGTTTAGCAATTGCACTATCTACCATGGTCACCTTGTTGGTTATTTTGGTGAGGAGTTATGTTGCAAAAAGGTCAAAACGCAACCGCCCTGGGTCTGTAGCTGATCTTGTCAGGCGTGGTCAATTAAGATCGGATAGAAGAGGCATGTATGGATCATTAACCTTTTGAATTGCTTGTCTATGATGTATTTCTTCTTCTGTTTCATTACTTTTCAGGATGTAGATTCTCGTCATATGATCATATTCTGCTGAGATGATAATTTTTTGAAATTCAGTGCTTGCATAGTTTTTAAATGCTGCAATGCATGCTTTTGCTTATTGATTTGTCTTGAAATTCAGATCAAATCCTCTTAAATATGACGACCCATTCAATAATCCATTAGTGAAAGTCAGCAAGAGCAATTCAACTGTAGAGATGTGTGGGCAAGTGTACCGTTTGGCACCAGTAACTCTTACCAAGGAGCAACAAGCTGTCCATCAGAAGCGGAGATCACGTGCATATCAGTGGAAGAGACCAACATTGTTTCTTAGAGAAGGTGATTCAGTGCCTCCTGATGTGGATCCTGACACTATCAGGTGGATTCCTGCAAATCATCCTTTTGCAACTACTGCAAGTGAAATTGACGAGGATCTGGCACAAACTAATGTTTATCAGAAGCACGGTGTTCCATTCCGTATTCAGGCAGAACATGAAGCCCTGCAGAGAAAACTTGAGGCACTCCAAAGTGTAAGCAATCATAACCCCTAATATTAGTTTATAAATGTGGTAAAGAAAAGCAAATGCACGACATGATTCTCACAGTTGTTAAAATCTTTACATCTTCAGGCCGGTTACCACCGATATCACCTTAGACTTCCTGGTTTTATAAGTGTGTTCAATACATTTTTATAACAGCATATGCCATTACACTGTTGCATTATCATTTATCAGATTGCAATATCAATTACATTCATGCAAATGTTATCTGATTTGTAGCTTAACTGCAAGATTCTCCAGGTTTCTTGCGTTAAAATTCTGGGGGAAGTTAAAATAATGCAGACTTTGTTTTCCTTTTATTTTAAGCGATAAACTGCTTTATGTATTGTGAAAAATAATGGACATCTAGATGCTATATTCTAAGCTTGCAGTAAGAAGGGAAAAGAATAGATAGGAGACAGGACATAACCTCCCATCTCAATTAAATGGAAAGAGATGTTAGCTTCAGAGTTGCCTGCACATTTGGTGAAATTTCCCTAGACATCGTTGTTATACATAGTTGTAGTAGCAACGAAACACCCCACTTTTGCGTCATGGATTTTTTTCTATTTTAATATGGTCGTTCATAGTGCTTTGAGGGTTATCTGGTTTTCCCTGAGTGGGAATTTCGTATAGGTTGATATACTTGTGCGTAAATAGGGAGCACAAAAGAATTTGAAACCAGTAGCAGTAAAAAAATGTGAAAAAAATGACTGTCTAGGAACACTAATTGAATTGTGTTCGAGTCCTAACTAGTTTCTATAAACGTCGTTGCACGTTAATAATATCGTGTAATGGTCGTGTCAATTATTTATATGCAGGCACAACAATGGACATTTTCTGAACCTGCAAAAACTAATCAATTTAGTTAAGTTAGATAATATTGTTATGGACTTGTAGTTTGAAAAATTGCAATGTGATCATACAATACCCTTTTTTTTTGGGTCATGAAGATTATATTAACTTCAAACAAGATTTACAAGGGAGGCAGTAGCTACCATATTGGAGTACATATTGTTTATAGTAGTAGCTATGCTATTATTAGCATTACGAACATTCCTATCACTAGTAGTATTTGTAGTAGCTTGTGATGGGTAGTTACAAAAAGAGTAATTTTGCTGGAGCGTGAGCACATCTCACGAGACATATCTCGTCGTGGTGACACCTCCCTGATCTGCTTCTAGGAGATCCTTAACAAAAGCAGGAGGTTGCTATACAAGGTTGGTGCTGCTTCCACTGAATGATTTTCGTAAGACTTCTTTTGTACTTTTAATGAGGAGTGAGAACATATGTTGGCAATAGCTATTGAGTATTAATCAAGTAACAAATAGTTAGAATGTCTAACCAATAGTAACAAAGAGTTAGAAGATCTGACGATCATGTGATATGTTCAAAGTTACCAATATAACCTGTTTCAAATAGAGTGATTCAAAAATTAAATTATTCAATTTCTGCTTGATAATATATGCCTTGTTACCAAATAGGAAAATAGGTCCAAATATGTACTTCATATTTACTTCAAACATATAATTTGAAGATAAATAATATGTCAAGACAACTATAGTTGAAGCACTATTACTGGGTACTAATTTGATATCTGCTAAAGTTGCTTGAATGCTTGTAGTAAAATTGAGATTTTGTAAGCAAATCATTTTTATTTAAAAAGGACAAGCTCATCACTTAATTAGAGTCAATTACACATTTGGTGCAGTTGCCAACTTTTATTTGTAGCGGATTCCCTTAATGCGTACTACACATTAGGTGAGGTGCCATGGTGTATGTTTTTGGGAGATGACATTTTTTGATCAAAGAGACTCCGGGTGGAGTTAACAATAGGTTGGAGGTGTGGAGACTGACTCTGGAGTCTAAAGGGTTCAGGTTGAGGAGGACCAATAAAAAGTATATAGAGTGTAAATTTAGTGATGTGACACATGAGGAAGGTGTGGAAGTGAGACTTGATGCACAAGTTGTTCTCAAGAGGGAAAGATTTCTTTCTCAAAAAAAAAAAAAGAGGGAAAGATTTAAGTATTTGGGGTCTTTGATACATGGAAATGGGGAGATCAACAATGATGTCACACATATTAGTGCGACATGGATAAAGTGGAGGCTTTCATCCGATGTCATGTGTGACGAGAAGGTACCACCAAAACTTAAAGGTATGTTCTATAGAGTGGTGGTTAGATCGACTTTGTTGTATGGGATAAAGTGTTGGCAAGTCAAGGTTCAGAAGATGCAAGTGGTGGAAATGAGGATGTATGAGTGGGCATACTAGGAGCGATAGAGTTAGGAATGAGGATATCTGGGACAAAGTAGGAGTGACCTTTGTAGTAGACAAGATGATGGAAATGAGACTAAGATAGTTTGGGCATGTGAAAAGGAGGTGTGAATGCTCCAATGAGGATGTGTGAGAGGTATGACATAGTGGGGTCGAGGAGAGGCAGAGGTAGGCCAAATAAGTATTGGGGAGAGGTGATTAGACATGATATGGAACATCTTTTGCTTATCGAGGACATAATCTTAGATAGGAGGGTATGGAGGTTGCAAATAAGGGTAGAAGGTTAACAGGCAGTCAGGAGTTGTCTTATTACTAAGCAATTCATGTATTTGGCTTAATGCAGGGGATAAAGCACCAGGCCCTGATGGTTTCTCAATGGCCTTTTACATACAGTGCTGGGAAGTGATTAAGGAGGAACTGGTAGCTGCCATCCAAAATTTCCATGATCAGGGCTATTTGGAGAAAAGTTTTAATGCCACTTTTATAGCCCTGATTCCTAAGAAAGTGGGAGCATCTGAATTGAAAGATTTTAGGCCAATTAGCCTAATTGGGAGCTTCTACAAAATCATCTCAAAGATCCTAACAGAAAGACTCAAGAGGGTTATGCCAAAGTTAGTAGATGAACAACAAATGGCCTTCATAAAGGGTAGGCAAATTATGGATGCCATTCTGGTGGCCAATGAATGTGTAGATGTGAGAACCATATCCAAAGTCCCAGGAATTCTTTGCAAGCTAGACATAGAGAAAGCTTGTGATCACTTGAACTGGGAATTTTTGTGGAGCACACTCAGGAGGATGGGGTTTGGCAACACCTGGATAAGATGGATGAGATTTTGTATGACCACTGTGAAGTTCTCTGTTTTGATCAATGGCTCACCATCTGGCTTCTTTTCCTCTGAGAGAGGATTGAGACAAGGAGACCCCCTTTCTCCTTTTCTTTTCATCCTAGCTATGGGAGGTCTAAGTGATATGCTGAAGTTTGCTCAGGTTAATAACAACATTAGGGGCTTCAAAGTGAGTCAGGGGGATTCACTGGGAGTGTCTATCTCCCATCTACAATATGCTGATGACACATTAGTATTTTGTGATGCAGAAAGTGAACAACTGAAACACTTAAGGGCTATTTTCATTATGTTTGAAGCAATATCTGGACTCCATATCAATTGGGGAAAGAGCTTTATTTATCTTGTGAATGAAGTACCACAGATCAGCCTCCTGGCAAACATTTTAGGTGGCAAGATAGGGGAACTTCCCACCACCTATCTTGGCATGCCTTTGGGAGCAAAGAGTAAATCTTTGAGCATCTGGAACTTTGTGGTAGAAAAATGTGAAAGGAAGTTGGTTAACTGGAAAAGTCAATACTTATCCTCGGGTGGTAGAGTCACACTTATCAACAGTGTTCTTGATGCCATGCCAACCTATATGATGTCCCTTTTTCCTATGCCTGGGAAGATCATTCAGAGGCTGGACACAATCAGAAGAAATTTTCTTTGGCAAGGTAATGGGGAAGGGGTCAAGAAATTTCACTTGGTCAAGTGGGATGCTGTTATTTCCAACAAAAAAGAGGGAGGTCTGGGAATTAAGAATTTGAAAGCCCACAATAAGAGCCTTCTGCTAAAATGGCTCTGGAGACTAGCAACAGATGATCAGAGCTTATGGAAGGACACTATCTTTGCCAGATATGGAAAGGAAGGATCATGGACTACTAAGGAGGTCAATACTCCTTATGGTGTGGGTCTATGGAGAACTATTAGAAATCAGTGGCCAAGAATTTGGAACAACTCTGTGATTAATATGGGAAATGGGAGGAAAACTTTGTTCTGGAATGATACATGGATGGGACAAACACCTTTGAGACAGCAGTTCCCAGACATTTATATCCTCAATCAGCAGAAAATGGCTACAATTGTAGAAGTCAGAAATGAACAAGGATGGAACCTGATTTTTAGAAGGTTCCTCAATGACTGGGAAGTGGAGAGAATGACTCAGTTTTATAATACCTTGGAACAAGCCAAGAACCTCACTTGTGAGGAAGACAAATTGACATGGAAGCTGGAGAAAGACGGCAAGTTCAAGGTGAAATCAGCCTACAAATTACTAGACACTTCAACTGAAACAAAGGAGTTGTGGCCTTGGAAGATGATCTGGAAAGGGAAAATACCACATAAGGTGGCTTACTTCACATGGCTTGTTGCAAGACAATCTGTTCTGACTCAGGATAACTTAATGAAAAGAGGAAAGGACTTATGCTCCAGATGTTTTTTGTGTGAATCTGAGACAGAGACAATAAACCATCTTTTTTTGCATTGTAAAGTGACTGAGAAGCTATGGAAGTATTTCATTAACCGAAGAGGTATCACATGGACCATGCCTAGAAATACTGCAGAAGTCCTAGCATGCTGGAATAGAGATGGAAGTCAGTCAGGACACAAGGAGAGATGGAAGATTGTCCCTGCCTGCATCTGGTGGACAATATGGAGTGAGAGAAATCAGAGATGTTTTGAGAACAAGAGCATCCCTTTCCAAAGCATTAAAATGAATTGTTTAGTGACCTTTTACTTTTGGTGTATCCATTCTATTCCCAAGGATCCGGGGGACATCACCCTATTCTTAGATAGTTTATGAGGGAGATAGGTGCTTAGTTTCTTTTTGGTAAACCCTCTATACTTTTGATGTAATTACTACAGGAGTTCACTATTGGTGTACTTCTATGTTTATAATACCAATTAACTTTTTCAAAAAAAAAAATGTATTTGGCTTAATGCTAGTAAAGAGCACTATGTCAGTCATAGTATTACCCTATTCATGTAGTCTTTGACCTTTTGTATCTGATATCACCTATTCATGTGTTTAGGTGATCGCACCTTGTTATTGTTGTTTTTGTTACATTTCCTTGCTTATATCATATATTTTCCGCATTGCAATTAGTTGTCATATTTCTCTCTACTGCTATTTTTCTTTTAGTTACTGCTTTGATTTGCTTGAGTCGAGGGTTTCTTGAAAAACCTCTCTACCTTGGAGAGGTAGTGGTAAGGCCTGCATACGTAGTATCCTCCTCAGACCCTACTTTGTGGGATTTCAGTGGGTATGTTGTATCCCATCCAACTTATGATTATTTTGTCCCATTTGCAGGATAAATTTATACCATCAACCAAATGCAGTATAAATTTTATCCCACACTTAATCCTCGTATATCCCATCTTATCCCATTCAATTTGGGATTATTTTGTCCCATCTCCCAGGTGGGATAAATTAGTCGAGGACTATTATCCCAGGATAATTTAGTTCGCGTACCAAATAACCCCTTATAGTGAATTTTCCGTCGTTCTGTCAATACTATGTATTGCGATCCTCGACTTGTTCATTGAGAGTCACCGTCTCTGAATCTTTTAAAAGATCAGCTAGTCTGGGAACTTTCCAATCAAAGCTAGTAAAGTTGTAGTCCACCTTAGGATACTGCATTTCTTTTACATTGGTAATCTCCCTCCCCTCTGTTCATTTCTTGTTTGGGACTAAGGTGTAGTTGAAATACTTTTTCGTTCTTGTTTTGGAAAAAGTTAATTAAAACTTTTCATACATTAGCATGAACAAGATACTCTGTTTACATAAAAAAAATACAGACATCCTTGCTTCTGGAATTCCCTTTTTGTCGTCAGTTGGTTCAGTTTAATACCCTTTTCTTTGGATAAGGTTAATACTCCTTAGGCTTAAGAACATGTTCCAGATTTCTCTTGCTGCTTTTCAATGTATGGACTAGTGGGTTGTGTCTTCCATATCCTTACAGCACCTACAACATCTGTTGCATATGTAGAACCTTTTCTTGACAATTCATGTTGTGTCAAGCGTGCATCATGTAAGGCTGTACTTTAAGAGCTTTGTCGGTGCATTTTTTCCGAAACTGATGGGCAAGGTTATTTGCATTCTATTTCTTGTCAGCTTCTTCTCCTGAACTTTTTATATTCTCTCTTCACTAAAATTGTCCCTGTGCTATTGCCTCAAATAATTCTTGCTTTTCACCTTCCCGTTTTACTTTTTCCAACATCCGTAAAAGTGGTCAGATTGTCAATTCACAGTTCTGCCGTTGTTCCAAATTTCAGATTCTGTTTCCCATTATTCCTGCATTGTGCAATAGCTTCAACTTCTTGTTAGGAAATCGGTCTCTCAGAGGTCCATGTCCCAACCATGCATCCTCCCAAAATCTCACCTTCCCATCTCTCAATTCAAGACTCATATTTAACCCGAGTTTGTTAACATCCCCCAATGAAAGACCATCCAGGTGGCAAGCGGAGAAAATGATCAAAATGGTCTTTAATGTATGGGTAATGCTTTATCTTGGTCCGTAATATAATTCACTTTATTGATATAGTCCTAAATGTATAACAAAAATGTTCATTTTGGTCCTCAATATATTTGACCGGATTGAAATGTAACAAAAGGTGTTCTTTTTTGTTTTTACCCTAAACCTAACAAATTTATTAAAAAGAAAAGTGTTAAATTTACCTGTTGATCCCATATGGTTAACAAAATCCACCATTGTTGTCTTCTTTGTTAGCTCTAGAATGTGCATGTACACAGAAAGGATCAGACATGAATATTTTTTTTGTTTGGATCCCTTTTTGTAACTTTGAGGGAAAACAGAAATGAGTACTAGGTAAGTAGAATAATATTTTAGAAAAGAGAAAATAGTAAATTTTGTTGGAGAACGTGGGAAAAATGATGTTAGATTTTATGGAGTACTTTTTTGGAGCTAACAAAGAAGACATCAATAGTGAATTTTATTAGCCACGTACGTCCACGGATAAGTTTAATTTTTTTTTATTAATCTGTTATGTTTAGGATAAAAGACCAAAATAAACACATTTTGTTATACATTAAGGACCATTTGTGAAATATATTAAGAATCAGAATGAATATATGTGTTATACATTAAGAACCATTTCAATAAAATAAAATATAGGGAAAAAGGACAAATATACCTCTGAACTATTGAAAATGGTATGCATATACCCTTCGTTATACTATTGAGACACCAAAGTCCTTGCCGTCCAAAAAGTGGAGCACTTCTATCCATCACACTAACTGAAGGACACGTGGCACCATCTCAATAATTTGCACGATTTTTATTTTATTTTTACTCAAAAACTAAAATCCCACCCAATTATATCCTAACCCACTTAAGACCCGAATTAACAAACCCTAACTACACGAATTCTCAAAGAAACTTCGCAATTTGCAAAATATTAATCATTCACTCGACTTCAGTTCATCAAGTTGACTCGTCGCCATGTCCGACCACCAGCGAACTCAGAAGGATGATCCTTCCTGCTTAATTACAACTCCAATGAACTCTGAATCGCCTCTGATTTTCTCTCCAATTGGCTCTTCTTTCTCTCCTGTAACCTCTATCGCTCTTGCACCCAGACCATCTCCGATTGAATTGTGTAGTTCATATACTAATTTATACTCGCAATTTGGATAAAGTTTCCAGCTTTTATGTGCTTTACTCTTTTTGTTGGATGAGATAGCGTGTTACTTCAAATTAGTTTATTTGTTTGATTTTTTATTGAAATTTTGTAAAAAATGTGTTTCTTAGGTTTATGTAGTCATGAAGAATCGTAGAATAGATACACAATTTTCACAGCCAGTAGACGGATTGAATAGAGCCAGATTTACATATGAATTAGATTAAGCTGAATGGAGAAGACCACAAAGACAAGCAAATTTTGGGGCTTTCCAGATTTTGAGAATTTTGTAGATATGGACTAAGTGGTCAAGAAAGTGTCGTGTTTGTACCAGCACTCGTCGATGCCGATGGAATGTAAAATGACAATAAGGTTGGGAAGATCTTTGTCGATTGATTCGAATTCTCCGCGAAGAAAAGGACGAGATGATTCCAAAAGGAAATGGAGATATGGGTTTTCAGTAGGAGAAAGAGAACTCATTGATGAAGGCATTTTTCTTTTTGCTTGGTTGAAGAACAATGGAGGATGCAAGTATGGAGGAAGAAGGAGGATATGGTGGCTATATGAAGAAGGATAAGAATAGTAGTTTGGGTATATTATTAGGGTGTTAGTGAGTGAGTGGGTTAGATAATTATTTGGGTGGGTGTTTTTTAGTTTGGGTGGTCTTTTTTGGTGAGTTTAAATTAAGTGAATAATTGGATAGATGCACAAGATGGTTGCACGTGTCCGTCCGTTAGTGTGAAGGATATAAGGGCTCCACTTTTTGGACGGCAAGGACTTTGGTGTCCCAATAGTATAACGAAGGGTATAGGCGTACCATTTTCGATAGTTCGGGGGTATATTAGTCTTTTTTCCCTAAAATATATTAGGAACACGTTAAGGACCATTTTGATCATTTTCTCGTGGCCAACGAGTATAGTCTGTCCACAATTTTGATGTATTTATCCATATAATCTATCAATTGTTGACCACGTGTTTTAATTTCTCCTTGTATACATTAGAATGTGCATGCATAAATCATGCTGGATGTCAATGGCAGTTCAATCAATTTGGAGTTTTACTTTCTTCCTATTATTAGTAAATGGCATGAAATCCCTGATGTCATCATTACAGGAGCAAAAACTTGGTAAACTAGTGATAGATCCTGGGGCTGCAAAAGATTTTGAGAGGCCATTCAAAACACGACTAAAGACAGAGGAGCAGCTCGATCAAGGCCCAAATAACCGGCAAATGGGCTCCAATAGTTCAGAATCAGAGGGTGCTCGTGATTCATTTGTGAACAAGCATAGTTCTGAAGAAATGGAGAAACCCTAGGTTTGTTTCAATACCGTTTTGTAAATTCTGTTAGAAATAGGTTAATGGCCAAGTTTGAATGAAGACTTGATAGTCATGTTTTCAGTCCTGACGTTGCTGTGTTCCAACAGCAGCAGAAATGAGACTGTAAATTTAAGTTTATTCCTTTGCAGCCAACTGTCTGTCTATACCTATTATTTGATTCTGGTAGTAGTGGACTTAACTTTTGTAACATTTGCCTATTCATTCCCTCGACTCAGGTTTTAAACCAATGGCGGAACCATTCCAGAACCTCCGCTCAGGTCTGTTTTATTTTAAGGAAAAGGGTATGATATACTCCTTAACTTTGCAATTTAGAGTTGATATATCCTTCGTTATTAAAGTGATTCATATTGTTACAAAAATGACTTTGATATACCCTTTTGCTCCAATGGATTTGAAGAAATTAATTTTAAATTAGTTTTTGATTTTCCATTTTTAAAAATCCGTATTATATTTGATTCTTCTCTCATGTGATTTTCTTTTACTTTTTTGATTCAATAGCTAATTTGAGTATTATTTTGATGGTTAAATTTATTTTACATTTTTTTTTGTAAAATTTATCATCCCTATTTTTTTTTACAAATATAAAAAATAAATTACAATATGGCTGTAAAAAATTAGTTTTAATTATTTTTTCCAACTTTTTTTCGCTTATACTATTCACTTTGTTTCGTTTCATATTTTTACATTGAAGAATGAAAGAAAAAAATGAAATAAAAATAGGAAACTCAAATAAAGATAAATAAATATATCTATAAGGGAGATATTTAATTAAAATTCGAATTAGTTGTTGAATCTAAGAAGTCAAAATAAAAATGATCAAATATACTCGTTTGTTGGAGGATCAATGGATCATATATAATATGTGATTTTAAAAAAAATAAATTAAAATTAATTGACTTTTGTTAAACGAAAAGAGTATGTGTGAACCATTTTTTAACGGTGGTATGTGAACACTTTCACCATGAAAGGTTACTCTAAATTACAAAATTGACGGATATATCACGCTGTTTTCCTTTTATTTATTAATACTAAATTCTCTTGTGGTTAGAAATGTTGAAGTTGTTTTTTCTGTGATAACTTACCTTGGGTTACATGATAAAATTCTAAAATATTCCAAAATTATTCGTTGATGTCTCATATATATCCTAAGTTGTCAAGTGATAGCCTAAAGTTAACACACTTGGCAATAATTGACTAATTAAGAAATTCTTAACTAATTAGTATTTTTTAAAAAGAAAAATTGCTTCAGAAATCTATCAACTATATTGGGTAACCGTATCAGTTTGAAAATTTAATGAACCTCTATTTTTTTATTTCACTATTTTAAATCCAATTCTCATTTATGTTAGTTCTGCAATTCTCTTGCATAAGATACTACATTGCATAATAATTCTCAAACAGAATTGTTTACAAATTTCAAGAATCGAAGAAATGGATCGATTGAATACGTAACTGTGGTAATACATAATTGCGGTAACAACTTAAATTTTGTGCTTCTCATATTTATATAGCATTATTATTATTTCATTACTTATTTTGCAGATGATGCATGATTTTTCAAAGATGTTGGATTGACAGTATGTTTTTCCTTTTTCTTTTCTACTAAGGAAAAAAAGTGATCAGTAAAAATTTCAATGGAGTATGAAACTGCTACATGGAAATATTAAATGTGATCCATCTACTTGTATTTTTTTGAAATATCTTACATAATTATTTGAATATATAGTTACCTTCAACTTATTTAATCTACAATGAAAGTTCTAAAGGCAGCACTCATTCAACAGGGATTGACGATTCATGACTCAATTTTTTTCCTAACTGTGGTAACAACTTTGAATGGATGCTCTCACTCCATATATATAAATCCTGCATTTTTTTTGAGTTGCAGATCATTTTTGAAGTTTGCAAAAGTTTTTGTTTTGATTTTATTGCTACCTATATCTGTTTAAAGGTATTTGTTTTATTTTGTTTAAAAATATCAACTTTGAGATGGAAAGAGTAATAAGGCTCTTGGGGGATTAACTTAGGTTCCTGATGGCTCCAATAAAAAGAATAGAGAGAGATGCATACAATAATCGAATTTATTTGTTAGATTTAATTTTTTTTTGCTACGGAGACATGACACATAAAGCACAAAATTTCATGAAAGTTGGTGTGAAATATGGAAGTCAAACACAACTTCTTAAGTTCATATTCAAGAGGAATTGGATTAAGTTTAGAAGAATAAATTATTTGTTCCTTATATTCTACACATTATTATTGTAACTACATATGGATATTTAAAGTAATGTTCTCTATCTCTACTTTTTAATATGCTATTGATGTAATTATTTTATATATGAAACATGCGTGGGGTTCTACTTATTAATAGTAGGATGTGCATGATATGGTATATATCAAATGCTATATTGAAATAAAAAAAATTAATATAGTGGTTGGAATTTTATGGTATTTGGTATGCATTTTAAAGAATTTTGATATTCCTGGTATTTGAGAATACTGTATCAAAATATATAGTTTCATGTAAAATTTATATACATGTAATTAAATAATACTAGCAAATATATAAAAGAGTAACTAATTATATAGATGTTGAAATTTTGATTACTCTATCTTGATTTTAATGTTCTTTTTGGGTGATTGATTGACAAAGATAATTGTTTGTACTTTATTTTGAATATTTTTGCATGTATAAGATATTAGTATGATATAATTGATACGTTTCTTGAAAACCTAAGTCACAATTCTTTATTATACGAATATATGTAATTTGACGACTTTAAGTTGACAAAAGTATGGTTACAATTTACCGTACTGTAAAATATCAAAATCGAACTTTAAAATATCGAATCATACCAAATTATTTTGTATGATAATTGTATGATATTTTTAAAAATCGTAACCGAAATTATCGAACTAAACTTTTCAATATCATACCATGTCCACCCGTAATTACAAGTAATTGATAGCATAATGCCATTCATGTTTCATACTATTATCATTTCACCTAGAGTATTCTCTTATTTTATTTGTCTAATTATATTATGGATACAAATATAGAAAATTGGATAGAGGAGATATAGATTTGGTATCGAATATTATACAAGTAAATTTTATGTCACAAAGGAAGAACAACACAAAGAGAAGAAGAATCTATATCTATATTAAAGTAAGGACAGAAACATTATAAGTTGTGAAGTGGCAACCTAAAGGTTAACACACTTGACAATAATTGACTAATTAAGAAATTATTAACTAATCAGTATTCTTTTCTCAAAAAATTGCTTCACAAACCCATCAACCAATAAAATTTCAGAGCGATGTGTAAAGAAATGTCAGAAATTAGAATTGGCTTATGGTAAGATGCATTTTCAGTTTTCACACAAATAACGCCAGTTGTCACTTCCTCCTCTGCTCGGAAAAGTAGTTGTTATAGTAATGGCTATTTTTCTATCATAGGGCTACAATATAGGCATTGGTGAATTTATCGTCCTTCACTCAAGGTTAGATCTTAACTAACGGATTCGTTAAATTGAACGATTTTATTGATACAATAAATTGAGTGATTATATTAATAGAATAACACGTTACTTTTGTGTGTATTAAAGTATGTAAATATATCGTACAACTATTAAATACTATTGAAAAGGAGACATGTTGTTCATGACAGAACATAACTAACAAGACAAATTGTTAAGTCTTAGCACAAGTAGGTACCATCAAACATCGTACTAACTAATTAACAGTACGACGCTCGACTATACATGTCATACAACAACAAGCAAAGTTGCGTGTCTGGTCATTAAGTATGGCGTAATGAATACTGAATTACAGATTGATATTATGTACTACTGTAATGTAGATTAACCAAAAACTTTTTCGTGTATATGGATCTAAAGACTTGGCATACATGTGCAACACCCGTGCACCTCACGTTACCATACTCCTTTCACACACAACACAATCCTTCACAAAGAGACATGACTTCCAAGTCTCGCATTGTGGACGACGTCACCAGCAATCATCCCCTAACAGATGCAACTACTCGCTATCCCTGCATTAAAACACTCCAGCACAGATTCTACAACAAACAAACAACCAATATCCAACATCAGCAAAAAAACAAATAGGTATGCCTAGTTTCATTCTCTATGCCCTGTTACTACCTTAGTATAACATACAGTCCTACCGGCGTTTGACAAATTGAATTCACAACATTAACTACAAGACAAGATGAAAACTACACTTCTCAGTTTCATATAACTTGACAAAAGTAGTAGACATCCAATCCAAACCAATGATGTATGTTACCCATTTTTAAAATGGAATTAAATAGTGTATGTCCATCTTAGTTGTTACCACACCTCTTCCACCTCAAGCAAAAATAACAGGTGGTGACATAATGTATTGCTATTCTTAAAAACTCACCTTCCGCTTGTGTGGGAATGAATTACGCTTACGGCAGTAATGACTGATCCCCTCCAACAGAAATGTACCAATTATATGTGATAAGTGGTGAATTGACCATTTATGGATTTTCTTTCTGATTTCATGCTTACAAATAATCAAACACACTAATTATGTGTGTATTATGAGTATTCTAGGTGAAGAGGTTAAGAAGGAAAAGAGCCAAAAAGGAGCTAAACACAGGAGTTCTTCAAACAAGTTGAAGGCCAGGTCCTTCCCACTTGCGAAAGAGGACCCGCATTTTCTACTCAGCATCTGCAAAATAGTCCCACATGCATAAAACCTACCCCTCCGGCTGACAGCCTACGGTGAAGCCCAAAGCTAATTGTGCCAAATATAGTACAAATACATTTTCATACATGTATCAGTCTCAAGACGAGGCAACCACATGCAACGCACATGCGGTAAATCTAGTATATAAATTAATAATAGTAAAAGGATGGATTAATTTAAGCCCTTAGATTAAATTGGACGGTCAAGATTAAAGCTGAAGAAGCACAATCCATTTGCTTCCTACGTGGCACGCCCAAACTGGTTGAATTAAAAGAACTTGAATTGCCAAGTTTTGCTCAAATTAAATCTATTTAAATTATAAACCCTTTCTTTATATTAAAAATAATTATTTTGCAAGATTAGCTTATTTGAAAAAAATAGTCATTCTTTGAAAATTAAATTAGTATAAATTAGTAACTCATTAATTAATAAGCTTACTAATTTTGAATAATCTACGAATAATATTTACTTTTAATAATAGAAATTGTATTTAAACAAAAAATCAATTCAATTCTTAAGAACGACATTTATTTGACGTAAATCTAAAAAATGAGAAATTAAGTAATATTTATAATATATTTAATTTTATAAGAAATATTATTTAAATTTATCGAATAAAATAAATAAATGAAAATATTTTCGTATTCCTACAAAATTTCGCAACATATATATTTTATTATCATATTCTTGAAAAAGTTTGTCATATGTATACATACATATATATATTTTTATTGTTATTATTGTTATTAATATTATTATTATGGAAGCTTAATTAATTAAATATGGAGAACCAAAATTGGGTGTCAACAACTTTCCCCTTTCTTTGTCCATGGAGAAGAGTAAAGAAGACGTGGACAAAGAAAATATTGACACAATCCAATTCCAGGCGACCACCAAAATATACTTTGAACAACAACTTGACAAGAAATGTTTATGGAGTTATGGCCAAACTCTGGCTTCTGAGCTGCCTACATATCTCAGGTTTCATGAGAAATCAGGCCATATGTAGTTCGAGGATGTAGGAACATAGCAAATTTTGATTTAAATTTGCCCCAGTATCAAATTATGGTAATACTGAAATATTTTGGTGGTGAGGTACGAAGATATTAGCACAAATAGAGGGGCGGGATATAGTCCTTAAGAAACTTGAACAAGAAATGCTCCGTAGCAATTTCTACTGAAGACCTATGGAAGAGAGATGAATTTTCAAAAAGATTGCCCCAGTGTCGAGTCATAATGAACTGAGACATGAAAGAGTTATAAGTAAGATTTAAATCTGAACTTCTGAAAATCGAGTCGAGTTGAGTTTTGAAAGTGAATCCTTGACGTAACTAGTGATGCTTGACATCGCACTTACTTGCCCTAGTTTGCTGCTTAGAGGGAGTTCCTCGTTGTAATGTGTTATCCTGCAAAACATGTAAAAGGGTGAAAAGTACCTGCTGCGGTTCAAAAAATTATAAATTGAAATAGTAATGTAAAGAGTAGAGTGTAGATGTTCAAACGATTGTTGATGTCTCTTTTCGTGTTGTGAATGTAATGTAGGTAAAGTAACTTGTAATGTAGAGGCCTCCGTCTGGCGGGGCTGTTGTAATGTAAAATCCTGTATCTGGTTGTGTAAAGCTTGTAATGTAAAGTCTCCGACTGGCAAGGCTGTTGTAATGTAAAAGCCTGCATCTGGCTGTGTAGAGCATGTAATGTAGACCTCCGACTGGCGGGGCTGTTGTAATGTAAAAGCCTGTATCTGGCTGTGAAAAACTTGTAATGTAAATTTAATTGTTGGCGTATGACAACGTTGCTATGCGTGCATGCCCCTGGTCGGTGGAGCTTCAGTGATATCACTACGATATAGTATCCGATTGGCAGAGTGTTGCTTCTTTTGCTTATATACAGGCTCTGATTGGCGGAGTTCGGTCGGCACTTGCTATGTATAGCCTCCGGTTGGCGGAGTTTGACGATGTTTGCTACGTACAATCTCCAATTGGTGGAGTTTGGTTGATGTTTGCTATGTACAATCTCCGATCAATGGAGGTTGAGTGACATTTGCTATGTACAACCCCAGACTTGTGGAGTTTGACGCTGTTAGACAGTGGTCTCTGATTGGTGGAGTTGTTGATGAGGTTAGATTATAGGCTCTAGTTGGTGGAGTTATTTTGACAGAAATCTAACTATCATATTATCCTACAGAGGGCCCTCTTTTCTTCAGTACTTGATTTGGATCTTGAGCGTACCTACAAAAATTTAAATGAAATATTCTTAGACATAAGATGCAAGTTGAAGTACTTTTGGGAAATAAAGTAGGGAAAAAGTATTTTGGCTCATGATTGTGAGAAGTCAAATGGTGTTTCTGGTCATGCCCTGAGACTTGATGTTATTTTTCTTGATTCCTATGTGCCTGCACTCAAAGAAAAATTTTAGTTTGGGAGGGAGTGTTGATTTGTATCGATTCGCGGACTGAAGCCTCGTACTGAAATCCTTCGGCACCTTCTTTGCCCGTACTTAGTTTTTTAACCTAGAGACTTGGTAGGAGGAAGAGTAGAAAATCTCTTTGAAAGGAAATATCTTGTTTTTTAGTAAATAAGTATATTACGTATATATATATATATATATAGTAATCTCCAGCATTTTTAGATTATGAAATGTTCCGAAGTCCATCGAGCTTTCCATTTTGTTGACTATATCAAACATAGTCTACTTGTAGCTTCTACACTTCTGATGAAGCTTCCTTAGCTCTTTTGCAGATACTATGATGATCAAGATTCTTCATATTCTGAGGTTACGCTAACTATGAGGAAGTGTTTCGTAAGGGTGATTTTTTTTTGGAAATTATGCAGTGTATTGATCGAGCTTGACTCAGGTTGCCTACATATCCCAAAAATAGGAATCAGATCGTAACGTAGTTCAAATACAAGTGGGAGAATTAAAAGTATGTAATGCAATGACCGAGCTTGACTCAGGTTTCCTACGTATCCAAGTGGAATCAGGTCGTAACATAGTTCAAATACAAAAGAAAAGTGAAAAATATGAAATGTAATGACCGGGCCTGACTCAGGCTGCCTAAGTATCCAAGAGAAATCAGGTCAGGACGTAGTTCAATTACAATAGAGAAGAGTGAAAAATATGAAATGAAAATGACCAGGAATGACTCAAGCTGCCTACGCATCCAAGCGGAATCATGTCGTAACGTAGTTCAAATACAATAAAAAAGTAAAAAAATAAATATGAAATGCAATGACTGGGCCTTACTCAGGCTTCCTACGTATCCAAGTGGAATCAGGTCAGGACTTAGTTCAATACAATAGGAAAGTGAAAAATATGAAGGACCAAATCTTACAAGGATTGCCTACATATCCCATCGAAGAAATTCAGGTCGACCGTAGTTCTAAATACATGAAAATGATGGTTTTGGGTTTTCTAAGGGAGACCGGATCCGATGTGGTTTGCCTATGTACCCCACCGTGGGAAGTTAGGTCCATACGTAGTTCTGTTACATTGAAAAATGCAAAAGTACCAGAAATAAGCGCTAATCTTGAGGTCTTCAGATGTAGTATTTCTTGATGGCGTCTGAATTGATTGGCTCTGTGCTCACTCTACCGTCCATTTCCGCTATGATTACTGCTCCTCCAGAGTACTCTACGAACCATGTAAGGTCCTTGCCATTTCGGTGCAAATTTCCCTTTGACTTCTCCTTGGTGAGGAAAGATCTTTTTCAATACTAACTGCCCCAGTGTGAACTGTCGAGGTTTGACTTTCTTGTTGAATGCTTTGGTCATTTTGTTCTGATAGAGTTGACCATGACAAACTGCATCCATCCTCTTTTCATCGATGAACATCAAATGTTCATGCTTGCTACGATCCATTTTGCATCGTCCAGACCAACCTCTTAGATAATCCTTAAAGATGGTATTTCCACCTCGGCATGTATTACAACTTACGAACCATAAATCAACATATAAAGGGTTGCCCCAGTTGATGTTCTGATTATGGTGCAATAACCGAGTAAAGCATATGGTAGCTTCTCATACCATTGCCTGTGACTGCCTACGATTTTCCTCAAAATCTTCTTGATATTCTTATTTGCGGCCTCAACTGCTCCATTCATCTGTGGCCGGTAAATTGTGGAATTTCGATGAGCTATCTTGAACCTTTCACAAGTTTCCCTCATAAGATCGCTGTTGAGGTTGACTGCATTATCTGCTATGATTGATTCTGGAATTCCAAATTGACAAACTGTGTTGTTGCAAACAAAGTCTGCCACTACCTTCTTAGTCACTGCCTTGTATGTCGAAGCTTCAACTCACTTCATGAAATAATTGATAACTACTAGGATGAAACGATGTCTATTTGATGCTGGAGGCTCTATGGGTCCAATAACATCCATGCCCCAAGCGGCAATTGGCCAAGGGGAACCTATCACATTGAGCTCATTCGGTGGAACCCGTATAAAATCTCCATGTACTTGACACTGATAACACTTTTGCACATACTAGATGCTATCTCTCTTCATGGTCATCCAAAAATATCCAACTTTGAAAATCTTCTTTGCCAAAGTGAACCCATTCATGTGAGGTCTACATGTTCCTGCATGTATTTCTTCCAAAATCCTTGTCGCTTCTATGACGTCAACACTCCTCAGCAATCCTAAATACAAAGTTCTCCTATATAGGATTTCTCCGTTAAGGAAGAAATGATTGGTCATCCTCCTCAAAGTCCGTTTTCGCTTGCTTGTGGCATTTACAGGATATTCTTGTGCTTCTATCAACCTTCTGATGTCAAAGTACCATGGTTTTCTATCCAGTTCCTCATATATATGAAAACAATATGCATGTTGATAATGTATCTCTACATCAACAGGGTCGATGCAATTTTTGAGTGGATGCTGAATCATCGAGGACAATATTGCCAAAGCATCGGCAAACTCATTTTGAGTTCGAGGGACATGCTTGAACTCAATCCTTGTGAATCTCCTGCTCAACTATTTTATGTAATGCAAAGAAGGCAGGATCTTGACATTCTTAGTGGTCTATTCTCCTTGCACCCGATGAACTAATAAGTCAGAATCTCCAATAACTAAGAGTTCTTTGTGTTCATGTCGATGACCATCTTGAGTCCAAGAATACAAGCTTCATATTCTGCCATGTTGTTGGTACAATAAAACCTAATCTTGGCTGAGATTGGGTAATACTGACCTGTTTCCAAAATTAAGACTGCTCTTATTCCAACTCTAATAGAGTTTGATTCTCCATAAAAAAAAATCATCCATCCATCATACGACTCTAATATGTCTTCTCCTACAAACAAAACTTCTTCATCAGGTAAGTAGGTCGTGAGTGTCTTGTAATCCTGGTCCACCGGGTTTTCTGTGAGGTGATCAGCCAGGGCTTATCCCTTGATGGCCTTCTGTGTCACGTACACAATATCAAACTCGCTTAACAAAATTTTCCACTTTGCCAGTTTACCTGTAGGCATTGGTTTTTGAAAGATGTACTTGAGTGGATCCATTCTTGAGATCAAGTACGTGGTATATGCAAATAGGTAATTGATGCTTATCGTGACCAACGACACTAACCTACGATATGAGTGTCTACGATCGTTGATAGTATAGTAACCCAACTAAAGGTTGGGGTCGTGTCCCAAGGGAGTGGTTTTGAGAATTGATAGAAAAATAAAATTAAGCTCTAACTAGTCGTAGCTAAAGACATTAAGGATTAAAAACATAGTAAATTAAAGGGGGTGACACGAAAGTGTCAAATATCGATTTGGGGGGTTTTGTTGCAAGTAGTAAAAAAACAGCAAATATTAACAAGAAAATCAAGTATGGGGAAATGTTCTTGGGGTGTGAGCGCAATCCAAGTTGAGATAAGTAGTTGGGTAAATGATTTTAAAAGGAAATTTGTAAGATAATAGCGACTAGGCTAAGCTTTAAATGGAAACAAGTTCCCTCTCGAGCAACTTACCTTGTTTCAACTCTCGGACACCCATTTGCCGCATGAAGACCAGCCTACGCCTTACCCCACTCACTCTCTCGAGCCGAGTGTTAGGATATGGGACTAGGGCTCACCCTCTCGGGCTGAACCTCATGTCGACCTACTCCTTAGGCCATCAATCTAGTGGTCTTGGTTTCGCGACCTCCCTCTCGGGCAAGCCGAAAACACATGAGTGACTTTGTATTTGTAACTACAAACCCTTTAGATTAAACCACAACCACTAGGTGAAATCACCATTAAGCTACATCTAACCTATCAGCAAGCAAGACCCAACAATAATATCAACACATATTTGCTAAATCACACCCCAAGAATGGGGGTTTTTTAGCCACACATCAAGAAATAACAAAATACACCTAAAATGATATTAAAATCAAATGGGTATAAGAAATTAAACCTTGATTTAAGCAAAGGAAGAAGAATGGAGAAGACCCACTTCCAACTTGGGGAAGATGAACTTCTTCTTTCTTCAAGTCTCCCAAAAACCCTCTCCAAACTTGAGAGAAAAATATTTAAAAAGTACAATTCTATTTTGGAAATTAAAATAAATGTTCGACTCTCTAAAAATTAATAATAAGTTTAGTATTTATAATCTTCAAAAATTAGTGTTGGTGGATCTTTCGGCGAAGTTAGTCGATATTGCCGATTGACTTGGCGACTTGCCCTTCGTCTGTCTCATCGCCGTTTCATGCTTGCCTTCAACATCTTCACGTTCTGGACCATTGGGTGGTATAGTACTGCTTCGCAGAAGTATTCAGCGAAGCGCCGACTCTCCTTTCATCGCCTTTTTGATCCTTTTCCTTCAGGGCTTCGCGTACTGGAACAAAGGGCAGAGTAAATCCCTTCGGCGAATCGCCAAGTGTGCTTGGCGATGCTCGGGCTTCAGCTTCTTCGTTGTTTTCACCCTTTTTGTTCCTTTTTGCGCCTAAGTGTCCATGCTTCCACTAAAATTTCAAATACCTGAAACTTAAAAATTTTCATCAGATATTTAGACAAAATAAGCATTCGAGGACACTATTCTTATCAAAATAAATCCCTAAATGAGTCCAACTTATGGACTCATCAACACCCCCAACTTAAACTTTTGCTTGTCCTCAAGCAAACTCAAGTTCAGCCGTTCAAAAAGGGTGTCTCAAACAGTGCTACACAAGACTCAATCATGAACATACACAACAAGATTCAAATTACTTATGCAAATATCAACTGTGTACTTAAAGATTCATGTTGTGACACACCATTACCAGAGATTCTCATGCTCGCAATACTTGCTACTTGTGCGAGTTCAAGCTCAACAAAGAGTATCTAAATGCCCTCACATGAAGAATGATTTCATATTCACACAGAGGTTAATCAATTCAAGATCAGGAATCAGATGCAACGCTTACACTAAAAAAGAGGAACACAATGCATGCTTTTACTCATAGGTTTGCCCTTATTTTCCAATCGACTTTTGATTCGGCTTACTCAAGATCAAGAAGATCTTTCTAAGGATTGTAATGGGGCTGAGTGTAATGTATGGTTATTTAGTCTCAGTGACATTTTCATCCTCGTGGGATGTGGTATTTTCAAGGCATTCCCTTCTTTTCCTTTATCAATTCTTTTTCTAGTGCTTCTAGGTCACCCTTTTTTTATTCTCCTCCATGGATTGCTTGAAACCCGATTCCCTTCGTACTTTATTCCACATTTCATTTTTTTTTTGAATTGAAGGGGTTTCCACTTATGCAATCCCATGGGTTGGGGGGACTTTTTCTTGCACTTCTTGACTTCTCCTTTTCCTTTTCACCACACCCCCAACTTAGGTTTTTGGCCTAAGTTGGATATTCACTAAATCACAAATTAAGAGGATTGTAGGTAGTAGGTCAAGTAAGGTCTAGGGTTCATCAAGGTTCTTCCAAAGAAAGGTAAGGCTTAAATGGTGTTCAAAAGAGTTCCACACGCTCACGGGTAGGCCACAAAAGAGGTGTATGTCAAATTTGGCTCACACTCTTTAAAGTTGCCTAAGATCATTTCAAGAGCAAACCTTTCTAAATCAATCAGACTAACATGGAAAATTCTAGGTTTATTCATGCATGGTTCAAAGTAAGCTAATCACACAAGGCATCGACATTTAAATCAAACAAGACTACACACTTTCGCTAGTGTGCAACGGTCATTACAAGAGAATCAATTCGATAAATGGCTAATCACAACGAGATGCAAAAAGTTCACATATTGTCTATGCAACTTCATTTGGCCTCATCATAGCCGTACATTCATGTTTGTTCAATTGAGAGCACTATTCAAGTCATCGGTATTGATCGAAACCGAGACTTAAATTTTTGCAAAAGAACAACCACATTCACTTCACAAGGGGTGGCAAAAATGTACGAAAATTTTTAAATTTTTCGTAAGGGTCAAAATTATTTTGCAATTAAAATTAAAAAGAAGCCATAAGCTCAAACATCCACAAAAAGCAGTTATGAACACAAATATAAACAAACAACCCAAATGTATTCAAAACATGAATCATAAACAGCACACAAAAGTGTGGGCCTCACCCCACCACAAATAAAAAACAATTTGTCCTCAAATGCAAGTAATAAGGAATCCGAAAGGCAAAATGAAGAAATACAAAGAGGGAGGTAAAGAGGTTGATCCTAGCTAATCTGTCGCTCTATCTGTATGGGCATCAGTACCCAGAGTATTGTTTGCCTCTGTAGCAAGATTAGCTGCAATCATCTGATCTATCTCCTAAGCTGCTCCGAAGGCCCGTATTGCATTAACAAAACTTCTAGCCCATGTAGGCACATTGGGGTCGATGGGTATTCGTCTCTTTGATCTGGCTTCATTGGTATATTTTCTTTGTCTAGCTAGCTCCACTTACTTTTCATCGTTTTTATACTCTCGTGCTCTTATGTACCTGGGTAGATCATTTCTCCCTGCGACTTTTGGTTTAGTCATTTCTGCAAAGGCTTCGAAGAGAAGTTAGATAGTAATTCAAACAGAGGTAAACATGTGTGTCTGAGGGTGGAATCACTCAGCCAAGCTAGTTGGCGAAGTGCTTATCCTGTCAGGCTAGTCGTTGAAAATGATGCACAATTTATACAAGGGAGCAGACAAAGGGAGAACAAGGATCTTTCGGCGAGTCGCCGAGTGCATTCTATGAATTAAACTTCTCACCGAAAGTCACAGATCAATGAATACATAAAGTAATCAGTTAAAGGCAAAATGGGAGCGTTAGGCGAACCGCCAAGCTGTTCGGCGGAATTTGTTCACCTCACCGCTCAGCTCAACATGTCTATTTTCGACCCAGCCTTTCAAATTTCACCCCGCAACCCCAGATAATGTGATGCAAGATTGGACAACACCAATTTAACGAAGACCCAACACAATTTTAGCAATCCCTTAGCAAAATGATTTAACTCCAAAGTACAGCCTAGAAGAATTTCACCAATTTCGTAAATACTACCAGTTAATAATTGATAATGCAACGCAACTCTATCGACTCAGAGGTTCAACAGAGACTTTACACTATCAATCATTATGCAAGTGAGTATAAGTTTTGATAAAACAACTGGGGGTTTCGATTACTAACCTTTGGTGCTGAATTAGATTGCACTGATGTGCTAGGCAGCAATGTGATCCAAATCCACACACAATTTGATACTTAAAATACTCTAAAAAGTGTAAGAGATATAACTACTAAAGTGTGAGTGTGATTTTGTGAAAAGGGACCAAGTGAAAGAAAGTGAATGAAATAGAACTTTTAAACCTGCGGCTTGTGACCATCCAGTTTCTACTCATTCGGCGATGTTAGTTGATCTCGCTCAATCACTCAGCGTAACACCGAATGTTTAATTTCCTCGCCGAATATATCAATGTTTAAGTTTAGGTAAGCATTGCATCAACGGTCATTATCGAGATCGCCAATTGGTTTAGCGATACGCCGACAAAGTTCATACTCCACCGAGTTGTACAGACTCAACCTTTAAGATGTATTGCGTCAAATGGTGGGAATGATCGGATATGCCAAACTTGTCGACGATCCGCCAAACTGAACTGTTGCTCCCCGCCATGTATTTTTTAAGCACTTTCCTAACTCAATCTGTACAAACAACACACTATTATTTTATCAAGATAACAAAAGGTGAGTAAATGGTTTTGGGTTACCTCCTAAATAGTGCCTCAGTTAACGTCGCGGCACGACACAAGTTAACCTTCAGACCTCACTCTTGGGGTTAGCCATAATATCACTGGGCAAACCCCCTTGTTGTGTCAGATTGAGATGATACGAGATATGACCTATTTGGGTCACTAATTGTTTGATTGAAACTGAATGAGAGGTGACAGTCTGGCTGAGGGTAGAAACGTCTTCTTTCATACCTTTTAACATTTTTTCTGACCCTTCAACTTTGTTTAGAATTCGCGAAAGGAGATCCTCAAACCTACCACTTTCCGAATCCTTTGGGTTCTGATGCTCGTGGGGAGGCACATATCTATCCTTCTCCCCATCCTTCCAATTTGAATTACGGTCCCTCCATTCATGATCTCGACCCTTCCAGCCTTCATCTCTAATCCATCCTTGATTTCCACTTTGCCTTGGGTAGTTTGAGCGGTAGCCTCCACCTTGGTTAGTCAGAAAATTTACTTCCTCATCATACATGGATTCAAACTTCATCTCCTCAGGATTTTCACCCCCGACTCCCACAACATTGATACCACGGGCACCAGCTCTCATGACATTTTTGGATAAAATGTCAAGCTGCATTATGATCTTGGCCATGTTTTGGTCTCTCTTATTATCTTTTTCAACCAGTTCCTTAGATAGCTGAAATGTGACATGTGAGACCTGGTCTTCACGAGTGTACCACAACCTGTTGATGGTTTTCATCCCATCGAGAAGTTGAGCTGCCACTGCATATGGTTGCTGCATTAAGCCTCCGGGTGAGAGTTGGTCAGCTACACCTTTGTTTACCGAGTCTAGACTCCGGTAGAAGTATTGAAGGAGCACATTATCAGGTAGACCATGGGTTGGGCATTGTAGCACCAATTTCTTAAACCGGAGCCAAGTTTCATGCAGAGGTTCTCCATTCAGACGCTTAAAGCTTTGGATGCTATCCCGAATAGTCATCATCTTTGAGGGAGGGAAAAATTGCACATTAAATGTGATGACCAACTCCTCCCACGAAGTGATCGAGTTACGTGGCAACTCAGCTAGCCACTTGCACGCTTCCCCTATCAATGAGAAAGGGAATAACCTTAATCGAATCGACTCCTGCGAGATTTTTTTGAACGAGAATGGTCCACACACATCTACGAAGTTTTGAAGATGCTCATGTGGGTTCTCATGTGCTAATCCACTGAAGAGTCCCTTTAGTTGCAAGAGTTGCAACATGGTGCTCGTTATGTGGGTAAACGGATGGCTCCAACACCTCCCATGAGATGTGGATCATGGATGTTGGGCTCTTGGACATCGTTGTGGTTGCCGATGTTGTCCTGATGGCGCACCTGGCTCCCGTTACTACCGTTAACACTCATACTTTCTAAAATGTTTACACAATCAATCAAAACAAAACTAAAAATTAAGTTAGTAAATTACAACTAAGAAGAACAAGAACTTTACTAATCTAAAAATTCTCAAATAACACCACTCCCCGGTAAAGGTACCATTTTGATGCTTATCGTGACCAATGACACTAACCTACGGTATGAGTGTCTACGATCGTCGATAGTATAGTAACCCAACTAAAGGTTGGGGTCGTGTCCCAAGGGAGTGGTTTTGAGAATTGATAGAAAAATAAAGTTAAGCTCTAACTAGTCGTAGCTAAAGACATTAACGATTGAAAACATAGTAAATTAAAGGGGGTGACACGAAAGTGTCAAATATTGATTTGGGGGTTTTGTTGCAAGTAGTAAAACGATAGAAAAAATTAATAAGAAAATCAAGTATGGGGAAATGTTTTTGGGGTGTGACCACAATACAAGTTGAGATAAGTAGTTGGGTACATGCTTTTGAAAAGAAATTTGTAAGATAATAGTGACTAGGCTAAGCTTTAAATGGAAACAAGTTCCCTCCCAGGCAACTTACCCCGTTTCAAATGCGTTCCTCTCGGATACCCATTTGCCGCATGAAGCCCAGCCTACGTCTTACCCCACTTACTCTCTCGAGCTGAGTGTTAGGATATGGGACTAGGGCTCACCCTCTCAGGCTGAACCTCGTGTCGACCCACTCCTTAGGCCATCAGTCTAGTGGTCTTGGTTTCGCGACCTCCCTCTAGGATAAGCCGAAAACACATGGGTGACTTTGTATTTGCAACTACAAACCCTTTAGATTAAACCACAACCACTAGGTGAAATCACCATTAAAATACATCTAACCTATCAGCAAGCAAGACCTAACAATAATATCAACGTATATTTGCTAAATCACACCCCAAGAATGGGGGTTTTTAGCCACACATCAAGAAATAACAAAATATACCTAAAATGATAGTAAAATAAAATGGGTATAAGAAATTAAACCTTGATTTAAGCAAAGGAAGAAGAATGGAGAAGACCCACTTCCAACTTGGGGAAAATGAAATTCTTCTTTCTTCAAGTCACCCAAAAACCCTCTCCAAACTTGAGAGAAAAATTTCCAAAATTACTATTAAATTCTGGAAATTAAAATAAATGTTTGACTCTCTAAAAATTAATAATAAGTTTAGTATTTATAATATTCAGAAAATAGCGCTGGTAGATCTTTCTGCGAAGTTAGTCGATATCTCCGATTGACTCGGCGACTCTCCCTTCGTCTGTCTCATCGCCATTTCATGCTTGCCTTCAACATCTTCACATTCTGGACCATTAGGCGGTATAGTACTGCTTCGCAGAACTATTCGGCGAATCGCCGACTACTTCTTTCATTGCCTTTTTGATCCTTCTCCTTTAGGGCTTCGCGTACTGGAACAAAAGGCAGTATAAATCCCTTCGGTGAATCTCCAAGTGTGCTTGGGATGCTCGGGCTTCAACTTCTTTGTTCTTTTCACCCTTTTTGTTCCTTTTTGTGCCTAAGTGTCCATCGTTGTACTAAAACTTCAAATACCTGAAACTTAAGAGTTTTCATCAGATATTCAGACAGAATAAGCATTCGAGGACACTATTCTTATCAAAATAAAGCCCTAAATGAGTCCAACTTGTGGACTCATAAGTAATGCCTAAATTTTTGCGCGATCCATGTCAAAGCGCAACATGTTCGTTCCAACAAGGTGTATCTTGCCTCGTATGGTGTGAAAATTCTTGCTCAAATAGTAAATGGCTTGCTCTTTTCTACCTGTCTTATCATTCTTCCCTAATACTCATCCGAATGCATTATCCATGACAGATAGATACAATAACCTTGGCTTTCCAGGTTCTGGTGGGACTAATACTGGTGGGTTGGACAAGTATTCTTTGATTCTATCGAAAGCTTTTTGGCATTCCTCTGTCCTTTTCGTGGCAGCATCCTTCTTGAGTAATTTGAATATGGGTTCACAGACCACTTTGGATTGAGCTATGAACCGACTGATGTAATTCAGTCTTCCTAAGAAACTCGTCACGTCCTTCCTGGTCTTGGGGGGAGGTAGCTCTTGGATTGCCTTTATCTGCCTTTCCTTCTAATGATGAATCCTAATAGGTTTCTCGCGGGTACTCCAAATGCACACTTTGTTGGATTCAACTTTATATTATACTTCCAAAACCTTTCAAAGAACTTACGTAAGTCATCTAGTTGATCTGAACTTCTTTTGGATTTGATAACAACATCATCCACGTACACTTCAATTTCCTTCTGGATCATATCATGAAAAAGGGTAATCATGGCCCTCATGTAGGTTGTACCGACATTTTTGAGACCAAATGGCATTACTCTATAGAATTACACTCCCTATGGAGTGATAAATGATGTCTTCTCTGCATCATCTTCATCCATTAGGATTTGGTAATATCATACAAAGCAATCGACAAATGATTGCAACTCATGTTTTGCACAATTATCGATGAGTATATGAATATTTTGAAGAGGGACATCATCCTTAAGATTGGCTCTGTTGAGATCTCGATAGTCCACACATATTATGATATTTCCATCTTTTTTTGGCACTGGCACAATATTGGCTAACCATGTGAGGTAGTTTGTAACCCTCACAACGTTCGCCTCAATTTGCTTAATTACCTCCTACTTGATCCTTAAACTTAAATCCGACTTGAACTTTCTTGTCTTTTTCTTGACGGGTATATAAGTGGGATCAGTTGGTAATTTGTGCGAGATAATATCAGTGCTTAATGCTGGCATGTCACCGTAATACAAACCAAATACATCAACATATTGCTTAAGCAACTCTATTAAATCTTGCTTTATTTAATCCTCCAAATATATGCTGACTCGTGTTTCCTTTACGATTTCCTCATCTCTTAAGTTGACAACCTCTGTTTCATCCATATTGGGTTTTTTCTGACTTTAAACTTGCTCGATCTCATGTGGTAGATTTTCATGCATCATGCTTTCATCGTATTCTTCATGATCTTATTCATCGCTTTCACCTTGCTCGGTGGATTCATTACATGTCATAACCATTGAACAAGGATATTTATTAATACGAGTGCTGAAAAGTGCAAAAGGTAAGTAAAAATAAATAGATATTTAAAATAACAAGGCAATTTTTAAGAAAAATAAAGACTTTTTATTTCAAATCATTCTAGCTTTTAGAAGAGGCAAGCAACAAAAGATTAGGCATGATTCAAGCCTCAATTTGATCATGAGAATTTTAAAAATAAAACCATATTTTCTACACTACCTGAATTCTGGTTGAAACAGGGACATGCTGATGGTCCATTTTTGCAAGATTTTTCCAGGCTCAGCATCACGAATGGTCAATTTGCTGAGATTTATCTCTTATTCTTCTCGGCCATGGCCACAAAAAAATTGCCTATTCCTTCTACGATGTCATCGTCGCTTACTTGATCTAGAATTAAAGCTTGTTCTGGCACAAAGATTGTCTTGCTTGACCCATGCTGGTCTCTTCCCAAGGAAGGCTCATATCTAAGTCCGTTTGTGCCTCTATGATGCTTCAGCTGGATTTGCTCAACTATGCCATTAGACTTGGGTCGAAGTCCACTCTTCGGCTCATACCCACACTTCAATATCTCTGACGCAACCATTTTTGCTGAACCTGAGAATTTTGTATCATCTGGCTCTGCTTCTTCATTGACCTTTACAACTTGCATGATTTCCAAAGTGTGAAAAGTGGCTCCGTCTAAATCATTGGTTATTGAGATAGAATTAACATAAAGAATGGGGTGACTGAGCTCCCCATGGATGGTAACTTCTTTGCGACCCCACTCAAACTTTACACATTAATGAAGAGTGGAAGGAACCGCTCTCGCCATAAGAACCCATGGTCTTCCCAGCAACAAGTTGTAGTTAGATGACACATCCATCACCTGAAATAGAATAGGGAATTCAGCCGGCCCTACTTGCAGTGTGAAATAGATCTCTCCAATGACACTTCTTCGTGCTTCATCAAAAGCTCTAACTTTCACACGACTTTCCTTATATCTCACATATTCACACCTAAATATGTCAGAGTGGTGAAAGGACAAATGTTGCATCCAGAACAACCATCAATTAGAACTCAAGTAACAATTTTGTCACAACATTTGACCGTTATGTGAAGCGCTTAGTTGTGCCCAAGCCCTTTCGCAGGCAACTCATCATCATGGAAAGAAATCTTGTTAGCTTCCACTATTCGTCCAATCGTTGAAACTAAGGTTTTACTTGTGGTCTCTTTTGGAATGTTCACTCCTATTAACACCTCTATCAAAGCATTCCTATGAGCTTCAGACCTCATAAGCAGAGACAAAATGGATATGTGGGTTGGTGTTTTCTTTAGCTGCTCTTCGACTGAAAAGTCTTTAGGCAGCATCTTCTTCCAAAATTCTGTGAATTCAACATCGGTAACATTCTTCTTTGGATTCTATTTTTTTTTAGGATTCCTCCATTTAGATCCTCAGGGGAATAACACCTTCCTGACCTAGTCATTCCCTGAGCTACAGTAGTATCAATTGTCTTACCCTTGGCACCTGCTCGATAGTCCCATGTGACTGCTTTGGTGTCATATTCAGGCTTCCTAGAGATTAGAGGGGTCACCACAACTCTTGGGAGATATGTATGGACAATCAGATGTTCCCTTAGTTGAACATCGATAACATGTTGTGTCGAAGATGTCATGACATTTGCTTCATCTATGTTTGGATAGTCCGGGCCCTCATATTCATCATCTAGAGTAAGCATGTTGACCTCCCGAATGTCATGGTTTGGCAAGGGGTTGTTGTTTACATTGGGAGGTGCTGGAGTGCATTTGATTACTTCTCTCTTTA